AAGAGTGAAATTCACGTTTGAGGCATGTGCCATTGTGGTGCAGAGGAAGCACAGGAACACAGAAACACCAAGGTTGTAAAGACCTCCGAGATCACCCAGGCCAACTGCTCACCTGTCACCCCTATTTCCACACTAAATCACATCCCTCAGTACAACATCTACATGGAGAGGACCACTTGCTCTTCTCACACAACACTGGCTGAGAGCACTTCTGGCCATCCACCAAACAACCCTGGCAGTCCCAAGGAACAGCAGCAGGAAACACCTGGGACTCCTGCAAGATGAGCAAAGGGCAGCAATTTGTGGGGAAAGACTGAAAGAATTAAACGTAGGGAGGCTGGTAAAGTTCTCTCACACAGGAAAGAGCGGTACGCAGATCTTCACGATACCCTGGCCATGGAGAAGACATGGCCAAGATCATGTCAGAGGAACTGCCTGTCCACTCACAAGGTGCACTGCGTCACAGTGCGCTTTCACGAGGGCCGCGTGTCCTTTTTGGAGATACACAACAGCTCTAAAGGCATCTGGGAGACTGCTGAGGGACTGAACGGGCTGAACAGCCGTCCTCTGAACACGGTGCAGCACAGCTGGTTCTGCAGGCGCTCCTTGGCTCTGCCTGCACAGCCTGTGAAACAGCAGGTTGTCATCATCAAAGCTCATCGCTCTTCATAAAGGGCAATTCTGTCCTGCACGCTTCCAAAACGCATCTTGCAGTGTCTCACAGCACCAACGATGAAGGAGAAACGGGATCTGTGACTGGGCAGCGTTCTCTGTGAAGCACGAGAGCTCCAACTGAAAGGAAACACCTGCCCAGAGAGGCCAAGAATGGAACCCCCCGCTTTCCACAGTGAGCCACGTTCTGCAGGCAGTGCTATTTGACAAAAGCGACGCACCAATACCTGAGTTTTGCAGGCGGGCGTTCATCACACCGGGCGTTACGCACGCTTCGCTTCCAAAGCTCTCCGTCCGCTTTCTTTGTCGTACTGTTTCTAACAGCACTTCGTCTCGGAAAGCCGCACGGGGCACATCGGCCGTGTTCCTCTCGGCGGGATTACCTCTCCGAGGAGAAGCGGGCGGCGGCCGCGCCACACAGCACACGGGCAGGGCGATCGCTCCGAGGAGCCGTGCCGAAGGCTGCCGGACGTACGGCCGCACCTCACGCCTCGGGCTCCCACCGGCTCTCCCCGGAGGGCTCCTCCCGCCGCCATCGCCCGGCACCCGCCCGTCGGACCCCCCTCGGCGCCCCGTCCCGCGGCGCAACGCTCGGGCCCGCCGCCTCCCGGCCGCCGGGGCCCCGCGGCACCCGCGCCCACCCGGAGCCCGGCCCCCGCCCCGCCGCCTCCCGGCCCCACCCGGCGCTCCCCCGTCGCCCGTCGGTCACCTGTAGGCCCAGGGCGAGGCGCTGCGCAGGTTGACGGGCAGCCGGAACCTCTTGTCGCCGCCCGGCCGGGCCCCCGCGGGGCAGCTGGCGTTGCGCTGGCGGCTGCCGGGCGGCTCGGGCGGCTCGGGCTGCAGGGTGTGGTGGAAGGCGCCGAGCATGCCGGCCGCCAGCCGCCCGTACAGCTGCTCCAGCAGCTCCTCGGGCCGCTCGCCGCAGCTCCGGGGCCGGGCCGGGCGTTTGGGCGCTTTGGCGGCGTCCGAGCGGAGCGGGAGCAGCGCCGCGCACAGCAGCGCCGTCAGCACCTGCAACGGGCAGCCGTCAGCGGGGCCGCCGCCCGCCGCCCGCCGCCCGCTCCCCCCCCCCCCCCCGCCCCACCCCCCCCCCGCCGCGCGGCCCCCACCCGCCGCCCCTCCTCACCCGGCCTCGCTGCATGGCGCCGCTCGGGCCGCTCGAGGAAGGCGAGGGGCGCGTGCCGCTGGCTGTCTCCCGGCGGAGGAGCAGCTGGAAACGCGCCCCGCGCCTCGCCGCATCTCCCCTGGCCTCGCGTGCCAAGAGGATCGCGGGCGTTCACGGAGGAGGCGAGCGCTCCGGCGGGGAGAGAGCCCGGCCCCGAGCTCGGAAGGAAACGAGCAGCGCGCGAACCGCAGAGCCCAGCGACGGGCTCGTGAAACACAGCTTTATTGTGAGGCGCGCTGGAGTCGGTGCGCATCAATCCCTCAGGATAAGCGCTGTTTTCTCAGAGCGATCAGATCCCTGGGGACACAGGAAGGGTGTTCAATATATATTTATTGGTTTGATCGACACGTATCCTAGGAAAGAGCGACGGCACAAAGGAGAGGAACCAACCGAGGGATTGATGAATTCAAGCTTTATTGGCAGACGGAACTTGGAGGCTGTCCCGCAGGAACAGCGAGGGCCGGCGGTGCGGAGCTCTCCTCACCGATGGAGGGCTGCAGGCTGACACCAGCAGTTGCCGCGCTCCGGCCGTGTCCCCGTCCTGGCCTACAAGACAAAATAGCTCTCCACCACCACCTGTGCCCAAAGGTTGCTCACACTTGGTGTCTCCGGACACAGGTGCGTGACTGGGATGCAAGAGCCCGCCCCCCCCGTCCCTTCTAAGATCAGCCCTAGCTCCTGCCTGTCCTGTCTCCTAGCAGCTCCTGTCTGTCCTGTCTCCTAGCAGCCCCAGCCCCAGTCCCTCCCCTCCCCGATCCCTTCTCACTTCAGCTCCTGCTCCGCTGCTGCCCGCTCTGCTCTGGGCTGCTGGCTCGCCGGCAGGGCCCTTTATATACCCGCTGGGGCGCGTTCCACTGTTCTAGCCTTTGTGACACTGCTGCCGCATCGCCATGGTGACTGAATAGCAGGCGCTGATGGAAGGCCCGCCCCTCACCTGCCTGCATTGGAATCTTCGCTTTCTGCAGTTTCAATGCAGGAGTCAAATAACCCAAGCATCACTTATTTGTCACCGATCGTAAAACACACTGTAGCTTCAACTCCAAAGTGTTTCATAGACGGTCCCATACACACAAAGCGTTTCAACATTTATTTCTTGAAAACTGGTACAAAACCACCCTGAAGAAGCTCTGCTTTGCTAAAAAGGAAAAAAGATTTTGAGTGGACCCCACGTTATTCCGGAAGCAAATCCTCTCCTAGTTCTTCATCAGCAAAGTCATCTTCCTCTGTTCTTTTCCTTGCTGCAGTTCTAGGTCTTTCTGCTTGTGGGCCAAGTGGGTCTGTGTAGGAAGCGTCTGGGATTCAAACAAGGACATTTGAAACAGTTACCTGCAAGTACTTCTAGCTTGGTTTTAAACACCTCTAATCAAACAGGAGACTGCTTTCTAACATGACACGTCTGTCAAGGTATCTTCTTTGAAATGCAGACTAGAAAGATCACTGAAGAAGATACCACATTTGGATTTTTAAGATCTTTTTTCCTGACCAAACCTTGCAGCAGAAAAACAGTATCATTGGGCCACGTTCCTTAGTACCTACAGATCCTTCAAAGGGAGCTCTGAACAATGAAACTGACGGCATTCATCACGATTATTTCATGGGGAAAACGCTTTCCTGATTGTGCAATTATTACACTGCTCTTCCAGTAACATCATCTTTCTCGTTCCCTTCTCTTTGAGGGTCTGGAAAATCGCATGGCATAAGATGCCCACTTGCCTATTGCTTTGCTGCTGCTGCTTTCATAGGGTTCATTTGTTCCAGGCAAAGCTTTCAGTCTGGCACTCAGCCTTTCCCCTTTGCTACCACCAGCATCTGGAAGGCAAAAAAAAACAGAGAAAAGGCAAGGAACTTGCTGTCATGTGCTGTGAAATCGTGATATAAGAACAACATAACTTCAGCTTTCTTTCCAACAAGATTTAATGAGACCATCCTTTCATGATGGAGGCAGTACTCAACTGTAACAGTAATTATTAAAACACAACAGTCACTGTGTGTGATGTTTGTTTGGAGTAAACATATTCAACTCTTTGTACTTCCAGTGCTGACATGTCACTTGCTTACAACCTAAAGTAACATGCTGGAGCTTAAGTAATCATGATACACATTAGCATGGTCACGCTGCATCCACTTCCATTTATCAATATAAAACATTGGTTTATATAAAACATTGGTTTAAATGGTTGGTTTTACATGGTAGAAAAATTAATAAAACAACATGCTGCAAAAGTAATCCTATCTTGGAATAATCCTATTGAAGGAGTGATCCCTCTAGCAAAACAAATTTGTTACATTTCTGTTTGTCCAACTTAGGAAGATACCCATGTGTACCACAATACCATGTGTACCACATGTACCCATGTGTCCAACAATCCAGGCCATTCAAGCCAATATATTTATGCTCATACTTTAAAAAAATGCCATCACCTTCAATTGCAATGATGATTTTAATGCATCAGAAATTGAGCATCACACAAAGGACATAGATTAGAATTTTTAGTTTGGCAGTCGGCCTTCCTGAAATGTTTGAGTAATGAAGCACACAGTTAGCCCATGCTTTTAAAGACCACAGAAGTTTCACTAAATCCAGAATGTACTTCAGTGCAGCCCTTGGCACCTTTCACATTTGGGATGAAGGCACCATCTTTGGAGAAGAAAGGGCTTTGGTTGCAGTTAACTAGCAGGGTTGGACTAGATGATCAGCAGAGGTCCCTTCAAACCCCTACAATTCCGTGCTTCCGTGACCCAAAAGAACAGACCTGTTAGTGTGGCAGCAAGATGATGGAAAAACTTTGAAAACAATGCTTCCAAGCAGAACTTTTCACTTGTTGAACACAAGCTGTTTCTGGTGGATCAGTTAAGCCAATTCCTCTGGTGAGTTCATCTGCAGCAAACAAGATGTCCACATCGTTCAGGTATTTCCCACATGTATGCAAAAAGAACTTTTGTACGCACAGCACGCAGCCAACAGCAATTTGAAATTAAGGAGGGATGAACACGCACACAAAGACTAGAAAATCGTAACAATCGTGCAGTTCTTGCTGCAGAGTAACAGGAATAATCTTTTGCCTCAATCACAGCGAAGATTAGTTGGGATGCTTAGTGCCCTAATATCCATAACAGGCTTGCATATTAGTACAAAGAGATTCCCATGAGGTGCTAAAGGATGTCTGAATACAGAATGGTTGCTTGGGATGGACAAACTCATTTCTTCTCTAACATCATCAAATGAAGTAAGAGCCATCTCAACTCTCCTCGTGGCTTGTTTTTTTCCCCCCACATTCCTCTGGCTAGGCTTAGGTACCAGGCAGAGTACAAAATGCTTAGCCTTTCATCTACTGAACCTATACTGACTGCTTCTTTGGGCTCCTGTCCGAGACATCACGACGCCTCGTGCACAACTGCCCTCTCATCTGGTACAACACTTCCCATTCAGAGAGCAGGGCAAATGCAGAGACCAAGCAAACACTGCCACGGTAAGGTGTTCCTTAAGGTCATACTTTCACTTATCTATGAAAGGCCTTATGGTCTTCAACAGTAGAAATCCCTTACAGCAGTAAAAACCATAATGTCCAGACTTCCAAATGCTGGCTGTTAGTATCGCAGCTCTGCAGAACTCAAAGAAAGGGTGAGAACAAGGAGATTATTAGAAAGGAAATCTGGGACAACTGCTGAAACTCGGACGTGCTGTTAAAAATCCTTCAGGTTTTTTTTCCTTTCTTTTTTTTTTTAATCACCAAAAATGTTAAGGGTATGTACTGATGCAATCTCCTTCTAATGTGAAGGAAAAAGATCACAAGCCATCAATCTGATATTCACGTAGAGAAGAAACTTTTCGCGCTTATCGAACAAATGTGTTCAGTTGTGGGTGAGCACTTCAGACGTAATGCTTCTTTTCCTCTCACCACACAAGAGTAGGCTTTATACTGACGCTCACACACATGTGAGTTTTTTGGGTCATTTCCTTCCACTCCTTGCACTATCCATGCATATTCTACTCGTAGTCTTCAAAGTATGCTTTGGTGCATCTCGTGCTTCTTCTGTGTTAATTCACGTTGACAAAGCAAGGTTCTAAGCACACACCTTGCTGGCTTCTCTTTCCTCTCAGCTTCCTTCACTGAGCACTTTTAAGTAACATTTCCTACAACAAGGAAGTCTGAACTATTAATGCTCCTACTACAAGTACAGGGGAGAAATAAATGCAGAAAGAACTTCTCCTAGGGATGCCAGGCACAGGGCTGGTAAGAGGAAAGAAAGAAAAACACACATCGTATCTAAAATACTGGGAATGCATATGCACTTCCATTAGCTAGCAAGTACTTCCATTTAGCTACCAAGTCATAAACTAAGCATGATTCCATGCCTCCTTGGAGTCAGTAATGATGACAAATCTCCCGTACCATGAAGGAAAATGATCCCTTTTGGTCTTGGCAACAACACTGTAAGAGATAAACTCCAAACGGGTACAAATGTTTATTTTCTGGCAATGAAGACAGCAGTATTTCCAATGCGCATTAAGATCTTGAAGTAAAGTAATCCTCATTTATACTTCACGTGCGTCTCCACGCAAGCTGTTTGCAGACACTTCTTAGGCTGAAAAATACAGATTCATAACCCAGAAATAATGCCAAACACTGGCTAAAATGATGGTTTAGTCTTTGGCTTTCCCTTCGTCTTCCTCAGCACACGGTAGACAAGCTACAGTGTAATCCTTCACGTTTGCTGCCACAACTTCTTCACTGATCATGTTCCCCATGTCAAAAAGATGCCATGCCTTTGACTCCACTGAGATACAGATAGATACATGTATAAAAGTATATTTTTATCTAAATACACACCATACAAGATGCATATGTATGATATACAGACATACATACACACACTCACCACAACTTTTAGTCAGGAATCTCAACAAACATTTTACTCCAGGTTCAATACAGAACCTTCTTTGTACCTCTGCTTGTTTTCCGAGTTATTTCCAGGCAGGCTGGATCTTTGCCACTGACTTCACACAACAGAAGCTTCCCAAACACGCTCTTAATACAGGCTTGTTCCCCAAATGCTTTTTTCCATTCTTTCACAAATTTGACACTGTATCTTGAGCATCACATTAAGAATTACTGCTAGGACAAGTTCGAGGTCAGTTCTGA